CTACCAATCTATTAATAAGTCAATCTAATCAGTTTTTAAAAAGTCCTCAGATGAGTGCCTTGTTCGTACTGTAATGAGTGTGTGTTGCGGGGGGAGATGATGTTGGTTGGAAAGCTAGGATCCAGCTCCCACTCAGCCAGCATTCTAGCATGAGCTCCACTCCTGCCCCAGAAATAGTTCACTATGGTCCTTTCTTGTTCTTACCTGAGGTACAAGCAGGATCTAGGGGAGCCACCAGCAACCCTGGGCAGATACCATGGGGCAGACTAGGAAGGCTGCAACAACTGAGAAGCAGCTGTGAACTCGGCTGTGCCAGGAGGCAGGCCGGCCCAGAGGGCGCTGCAGCAAGCAGACATTCTAAACTTTCTCTGTCTGTGGGGAAAATCTTCAACGAGGGTAACAGTCCAGCCTGCTATGGGAGCTATTTTTGCACAGAACAGTGTGCTAAAAATGTGGGGGAAGGCAGTAAGTCGAAGGGCAGCCCACTAACCTGGGCAGTGAGCCCAAACAGCAAAAGGCCGGAGGAGCCAAGGAATGGCAGGAAGGGCAATGTGGGGGTGGGTGGGGTGGGGTGGGGGGGGGGGGAGAGCTGCAGAGAGCTGGCTGCACCCTGCTCTGCACACGTCCTACTCTGTGTCCGGTTCTCTGTCACCATGAGAACACTCGTGGCTCACCGAGACATGTGAAAGGCCAGGCTCTTAAAAACGGGAGGTGGCAGTTTCAGATCCAGCCCCTCTCCCTTTTGGCCAAGGTTTTACATTTCCTGCATAATGACAAGAAGGACTAAACCAGCTAGGCTTGGTGGCGCACACCTTTAATCCTGGTCTACAGAGCAAGCTCCAGGACAGCCAAGGCTGTTACATAGAGAAACCATGTTAAAAAGAAAAGAAATGGGGGCTGGAGAGACGGCTCAGTGGTTAAGAGACTGGCTGCTCTTCCAAAGGTCCTGAGCTCAATTCCCAGCAACCACATGGTGGCTCACAACCATCTATAATGAGATCTGCTGCCCTCTGCTGGTGTGTATGCATATAAGCAGGCAGAGTACTGTGTAATTAATTCCTGTGCACTGTCCTGTGACTCTCACATGTGAGATAGTATGGTAGACTATACACACATACACACTGGGGGGTGGGGGTGGGGGACGGAGAACCCAGCCATAGAAGAAAAAGATGAGCTTTTCAGAGCTGGACATCAAACCAAAATGTGCTCTATAAGACAGAACTAGCAACACACCTCACAAGTGCTAACCTCAAGCAGGAAGACGCATGCGCACACAACTCTGAGTAGCTTCCCTTCTCTCTAGTCTCTACAACCATCACTCTGATATTTTTGGTTGTGAGCCTAGCCTTTAACGGCTGAGCCATCTCTCCAGCCCCAACCATCACTCTTATTTCAGCCTGACTCCACAACTCATGGTAACAGCTCAGACATCACTTGGCCTTAGGCACTGTGAAAACGGCGGAAGCCAGCTAGATTTAGACCAGACTCCTGCAGCACGGGTCCTCTTAACTGGGCCACAGCCTCATCCTCTTGAAAGAACCGTACAAAAGTCCTGAGAGGCCCAGGTCTAGGCAAGCAAAATACAAAGCCACAGTGCCCTCAAGAGCTGCCCTGAGCACACCTAGGTCTCAGACCCTGTGAGATGGGAGACCCTCATCTCGCTCCAGAGAAAAATAAAAGCTGCCATCCATGTTCCTGCCCCTCCTAACACTTCCCTCGGGGGATGTCAGACAAACCCCTCTGATCTAGCACATTCACAAACAAACAGTTAAGTCCTCCAGACCTCCCCCTAGAGGAAGGCCCACAGCATGTTATACTCACTGTTCTTTCAAATATTAATTTTCAGATTGCAGTTTTTGTTCACTTATACTTCCTATAAGGTGTTAATCTCAATGAAGGCAAAACTCAAATCTGTTGCGTAATTTCTGTATTTCTTGCAGGGGGCTCAGGGCTTGTTGCAAGACAGAATGGGCACAGGCTACTTGCTGAATAGCCGCACAACGTTCAGTTGGTGAGAAGCTTAAAAAGGTGCAGATCTGCAGGGAATTCTGTCCTACTTTCACAGTCATGGACCTTCCCTCTCGGTTAGCAGGGACCAGAATGGAAGGTAGCAGATATGAGCAAGGCATTCGTTCCTCACATGAGTCCGGGCCTGCTCAGAGCCGAGCCCATGAGCAACTAGGAGACTCCAATCTGACTAGGTTGAGAAGGATTTGCTAAGGGATAAGAACAGCTCACAGAATCACACTGACAGGTGAGGAGACAAACCTTCAGGCCAAGGGGCTGCTGCCTCTAGGAGGGTCCAGGAAGCAGCCAAATAAAAGCAAAAGAAACCAGCCAAACCAGGAAGCAAGCACTACTGCTGCCAACCGTAGAATCGTGTCTCCTTTCTGGGACAGGCCAGCTTCTCCCTGAGGCCCCTGGCTTCCGCCCTGTGGCCAAGCCTAGGCAGGGCTTTAGACTGCGCCCCATGGGAACTTAGCTTAGTCCACATCCACAAGTCTGGAAAAGCACTCTGGCCTTCTGGCCCCTCGTGCACCAGGTGACTGGGATGGTGTGGAGTTGGCCCCTCCAGAGCTGAGCCTCCAAGGGCCCCTCCAGCTCCGCTGGGAAGCTGAGAACACCACTTCATGAACGTCAACCGCAGTCACCTGGAATCGTATGGGCACCGATCTGCAGCTCTGGGTGGGGCCAGAACTCCCTGTTTCTAACACGCTGCTGGCCAGTGCTGAGGGTGCCAGTCTCCTATGCACTCTTGAAGGAGGACGTCTCGGTCCTATTTTCACAGGTGCTGTCTTTGTTGACACGCAGCCAGGCCCATAAGCTTCCGCACTGTCCCTCTGGCTACCTCTGTGATAGAGGCTGACCACGCGGCACCTGTGTGGAGCTTTTGTCTAACTGCCTAAGGTTCAGATTATCAGGGTTTTGTCTCTTCAGAGTGTCTCAGGTAGTCCAGGCAGGAGTCTACTGATCTTCCTGCCTCCACCTCCCCAATGCTAAGATCCCGGGTGTGCATCACCACACCCAAACACTCATCCACACTTACACTGTAGAAAAAGCATGTTAAGTAAAACAGAAATACATTTCTAACCAAATAAAGATTTTATAGCCATGTGGTGGTACACAGGCCTTTAATCCCAGCAGCTGGAAGGCAGAACCAAGTGGATCTCTGTAAGTTCAAAGCTAGCCTGGTCTACAGAATGAGTTCCAGGGCTACACAGAGAAACACTGTCACGGGAAAAAAAAAATTCTACTCTTTTTTATTATCTACTTTCGAGGCAGAGACCCTCCTGTTTTGTCTCCTGGGTGATAGGACTAAAGGTGTTTGTTTGAGACAAGGTTTTGATCTGTAACCTACTTGTCTTGAACTCAATTCAGTATGTAAACCAGGCCCACCTCAAATTTACAGTGATCCTCCTGTCTCTGGCCCAGTGTTGGAACTTTGGGTGTGAAACACTACAGTAGGCTGCTCACTCTGAAAGGTTCTCAAAGCCAAGCAGCAGCATGCAGCAGCTCTACAGGCTGGAGAACAGTCAGCCTCTGGCAGAAGCTGGTATGAGCATGCTCATGGGAAACGACCCTGAAACACCAGACACAGTCTGCTGGAGGCTTCAGGGAGAAGGGTCCTCTTCCTCCAAATGTGAGCAAACATGCAGACCTGTGTTTGAAGGTGAGAATGAAACAACGGTGGCCAGGCTGCTACCACAAGGAGACAGGCCAAGACAAGAGCCAAAGTAGCAAGGGCAGTGGAGAAGGGAGGACTTGGAGGGGCAAGGCCACTGCCTGCAGGGGTCCCAGTCCAGGTGTGGCTGACAGACAGAGGAGAGAGACAGACAGCAAAAGTGGCAGAGCCTGAAGAATGCTCCGGGGAAGAAAACTACGGAACTTCAGTAAGAGCCAACCAACAGACAGGCCAGGAGGGCTGTGCTGCTGTCGGCAGGGGGTCACGTAGCTCAGGCTGCCTCCAATTCACTCTGCTGCTGAGGACCTTCAACTTGTCCTCCCGCCTCCCCTTCGTAGTGCAGAGATTTCAGGCGTGCACACGATGCCCGCTGATACAGTGCTGGACCAACCTCAGGACGTGAGGCATGCTAGGTGGCCACTCTACAAACTGAGCCACAGCTGAGCCACAGCCGAGCCGGAAAATGTCTGGTTGGTCTTGGTAGTGCTGGAGTTGACCCTTGCACACGCTAGGCAAGCACTTTACCACTGAACTGTCTTCTCGGGGCCCTAGGAGTGTCCTAAGTGGTTCTGTATGTGCAGAGAATCAGACCTGACACCCTCTAGAACAAGCAAACAGATTTTTAAAAACACTGTGTGTGCCAAGGAAAACCACACTACTGTGTTCACCACCCATTCTGAGCGAGGCTGTACTCAGAGCCGAGCATGGTAGTGCCAGCACAGGCTATGGAAGAACACCAGTTTCTTCCTCTTCACTTCCCCTCTTGGACTTTCTCTCTCCCCTGGACCGTCAACAATTTTAGAGTGGAGAGAACCTCTGAGGACTGAACACTGAACCACACCCCCAGCCCTCCTAGGCTGGAAGTTCCCACAAGGTGACTTGATTCTCCTGGCACATTTAATAAGGCCTGGGTGTGGTCAAGGACATCAGCCCATGCACATGCAAAATGTGCCTGAGTCCTGTCATCTCTCAAGTTGTACCAGCACTAACCAGCTCACCAGCATGTGACAGGCACAGGGCCTCACCCCCCTTCAGGTAACAGAATGAGCTACAATGAGCAGCTGGCTCCTCTTAGCACTGATATTTGATCTCTGACAAGTAGCAGAGATGATGCTGGGCGAGAGCCACAAGAAGTCAGGAAGGCCTGACAGGTGTCACTGGACACCGCCACTACCCACACCGACTTCCTCCTGCAGAGAGGTCACAGACACTGCAGCAGTGAGGGTGTGGTCCCCATCACTCGACGCCTCTCTGTCGCCACGAGCACACGGCTCCATGGGCTGACAGGGTACAGTGGGACCCACAGGACAGGCCATACCTCCTCACAGACTTCCCGGACTGCTGCCACACTTGGCTCCTCCTCGGGCTCCATGCCTCCGCCGGGGACAATCCATCGGTCTGGATGGCGGCTACTGCTCACGAGCAGCACCTGAAGTCAGAGGGCACAGTGAGGTCACACTCAAGAAGATACTCACAGATCAGTCCAAACAGAAAAAAAGGACACAGTAACTAAGGACTGGCTCTTGTTTACACCTCCAAATAACGCTTTACGAGGTAGTGCCTCCTGTTGGGAACAGCAGGCACTCTGCCCAGGACATGCCAAGGGCATCTGCTGGGAACAACCTCGCCTGTGGTCTTTACCCTCCCCTCACACTCAGCTGTCTCACGTTTCTCTTCCATTTTCTCCTTTTCCTAAAGCCCTCAGAACATACCGCTGCTGAGGTAACAAAACAGGTGGAACTGACAAGCCTGGAAAAGCTGAAAAGAGGAGGAGGAAAAGGAGGTCGCTGGCTGTGAATGCCCCCAGGCTACACCTCTGCCCTGAGCCCACAGTGCACTCCCCGAGCTGAGCCTGCCCTGGCTCTGGAGCAGCAATCCTTGCGCTACTCAGCTGCAATGACAGCTGATGAGCAGAGTTCTTTTCTTTGTTTTTTCAAATGCACCTTTTGCGCATGGAGCATGTCTTTGCACCCTGTGCAAGAAGGCCAGAACTGGACACTGGATCTCTAGAACTGGAACTACAGACAGACATGAACTGCCATGTCGGTGCTAGGAATCAAACCTGGGTCCTCTGGGAGATTAGCCCGTCTCTTAATTCCTGAGTCAGCTCTGCAGCCCTGGGTTCTTTTAATACACGCTGTCCTCACAAGTTCTGATCTAGTCTTCTCTTAAAAGACAGGGTCTCATGCAGTCAGTCTGGGCTGGCCTGGACTCTTGAGCCTCTGCCTCTACTTCCCAAGTGCTGAGTTTAACGTGTGCCATCATGCCTTGGCTGGAATTTAACTTAGAATGTTTATTAAGAAGTAGAGAGCTGCAGGGTGCTGTGACACACGCCTGTCATCCTAGCACTCAGGGAGGCAGAGGCAGGAAAACCTCTGTGAGTTCGAGATCAGCTGGTCTACAAAAAGTCCAGAACAGCCAAGGCGACACAGAAACCCTGTCCAAAAACAAAAACAGCAAACAAACAAAACCCATAAAAACAAACAACCTAAAAAAAATCTTCAAAGATATAATTTTACTAATTCAGACTCAGCCACCATTCTGATGATGACTGAAATACGTTTTTTATAAAATACTTTATATGTCTTTTATAATGTATAACTCCTCTATTTTGAAAATGCAAGTTCTGCTTTGAGCAATGTAATGTACTGCTCTGCTAACGAAAACACTTCCAGGTCCCTTAGCTGATGTGTACAGGTTGCTTTCCTTATGCCATGGCCCAATACCCAACAAGAAGCAACGTCGGAAAAGTGGGACATTTTTCTTCCTGGCAGGAAAGCCATGACTGCTGGGTGGTCTCACGCCAGTGGAAGCAAAAGGCACCCAGTTCCCATCTCTGTGGGTCAGGAAACAGAGACACACTGAGCCCAGTGACTGCCAGTTAGGCCCATGTCCAAAAGCTTCCACAACCTTCCAAAACAGTGCCAGCAGCTGGGGCCAAGTGTCAAACACACAGCCTGTGAGGAACATCTGCGTTCACACCATATCCTTCATGCGTAATGATAGGACACTGACATGTTAATATGGACAGGACATAAAACTCACCACTGAAAACAAAGGTTCTCTTTGGACTGCCCAGTTAAAATACAAAAATCAAGTAAAAACGGACTAGTAACCTAAATACAACTGCAAAAACTAGGATGCACTGAGAAGAAAACAGGAAGCCTCTGTAATTCCAGGTTTAGCAAGCTATACCAAATTTGTAAGACAGGACCTCAAAAGCAGAGTAGCAGAGTAACAACAAGGCAAGCTAGCCTCCAAAACTCAAAGGCGCTGGACCCAGGGAGTGTACTCTGTTCTCAGGAGTGTAGCGGCTTTGGCAGGAGAAATGGCACAGGCCCAGGCACTGGCTGCTCTTCCAGGGCCTGGGCAAGTCTCCACCTGCACTGTCAGGGTGTAGTGTACATGGCAGGGAGAGGCTGTGGGTGCTCTCCAAAGGTCCACAGGGATTACCTGCAGCCCACGAAATCTCCATGAACGAGCAACACAGCTTGAATTCCTGGCTAATCTGCAGAGAATGGCATGCAGCAGGACACGTACCTGACTCCAATTCCAACCGTGGCACTCTGCAGACTCAGCAAGGCTATTTTCCTGTGTGTGTCTGTGTCTGTGTCTGTGTGTGTGTCTCTGTGTGTCTGTGTGTGTGTTTCTGTGTGTCTGTGTGTGTGTGTCTCTGTGTGCCTGTGTGTGTGTATGTATCTGTGTGTCTGTGTGTGTGTCTCTGTGTGTGTCTGTGTCTGTCTGTCTGTGTGTGTCTGTGTGTCTGTCTGTGTGTGTCTGTGTACTATATATGTCAGTGGCCAACTTGCAGGAGTCGATTTTCTCCTTCCACCATGTGGGTTTCAGGAACAAATGCAAGTTGTCAGGCCTGGCAGCAGGTGCCTTACACAAGGGGGCATCTCTCTAGCTGAGGCCCCCACTGTGTCAGACAGCTATGCTAATGCCTAGGTGGTACAAGGGCTACATGACTATCTCATCACTATGCTCTGTGACCTGCCTAACACACAAGTGTTTTGTCATCATTTAACACAGGTCTCCTCATCAAATATAACCAATACAAAAGTAAACAATTCTGTGCCCTGTTTGAATTCAAGAGAGGTGTTTTCAGATAGAATTTTAAAAATTTTTAAATTTTCCATGTATCAGTGTTTTGCTGTATATATGTCTGTGTACCATGTGTGTGCCTGGTGCCCATGGAAGCACCACTTTGGAACGCCTAAGACTAGAGATACAGTTGAGAGCCACCATGTAGGTGCTAGGAATTGAACCCAGATCCTCTGGAAGAACAGGCAGTACTCTCACCCGCTGAACCATCTCTCCAGCCCTAGAGAATGTTTTAAAGGAGAGCTACCGCACTTCCGCATAGGAGCCCATGAAATGTTGGGGAGATGCTCCGGGCTAAAATGAAGTACCATGAAATGTCGGGGAGATGCTCCGGGCTAAAATGAAGTACTATATAAACTGTTGAGAAAGGGCCACAAGCTCAACTATTTAGGAACTTCAATTCCTACCATTTTACACGTAGGATTTTGACCTTCAAAAGCATCTACTTTAAAATTTTAACACTATTGTGAGGCTGGAGAGATAGATGGCTCAGAGGTTAAGAACACTGGCTGGCCTTCCTAAAGGTCCTGAGTTCAATTCCCAGCAACCACTTGGTGGCTCATAACTATCCATAGTGAGATCTGGTGCTCTCTTCTGGTGTGCAGGCAGAACACTGCATAAAAATAAATAAATAAATAAATAAATAAATAAATAAATAAATAAATAAAATTTTGACGCTGTTGTGTAGTCTACAGAGGAACTAAAAACAGAAACAAAATATGGCTCAGTGGAGGGGCTGCTGGGGGCCACCTCCACCAGGCTATTCCCAGCGGAGCAGCTCCCTGCCTCGTTAACAGGAGCGTGCACTGCGTAGTTGCCAGATAACTGCCACTCTTCTATCTTGACAATATGGTGACGTGGGAGTGGTCACACCATGCACAGAATCATTCTTCAGCATGAGCCCTACGAGTGTCAACGACACAAGTGACTGACTCTGTGGCTGGGGGAAGAGGCAGCATGTCCCTTTAAGACCTTGTGTACAAGCTGGACACAGCGGCATATGCCTTTAATTCCAGCACGAGGGAAGCAGAAGCAGAGGCAGAGGATTGCTGTGTGTGAATCAAGGCCAACCTGGTCTACAGAGCCAGTCCAGGACAGCCAGGGCTACAGAGAAAACCTGTTTCAAAAAACATAGACAGACAGACAGGTAGGTAGGCAGATAGATGGGGAGAGAGAGAAAGGGAGAGGGAGAGGGAGAGAGGGGGGGGGGGGAGATAGACACCCCCTATGTGCAGCTCTGGGAGCCTGGAACAGGTGCTCGGGACTCCCTCGCAGGCACAGAAGAGCTCCAAGCTCCGAGTCTAGGCAACACGTGCCAGAAGAATACAATGTATTCAATACTCTGACTTCTCAACTTCACTGAAACAGATAAGCATCTCCATTCCTGACCTCGCAACTGGGTATTTCCTCCTCAGGGCTGAGCTATATGATCGCACTGGAAAACCCCAGCTTGTGCACAGCCACATTCTCTATTTTCTCTGAAAGACAGGCTCACAGAAAACAAAGGCAAGCATCAATCAACTGCTCATGTGCAACCTACCTTAAGGCGTGACAGAGAAAGCACAGGTGTGTGCTGTCAGCTTGCGGTACCAGACTGCTGCTAACTCCCACCAGCCCACATCACAAAGGAAAATCCAGCTCTCCAGCCTTCTCAGCTTTACAATGAGGGGGCCCCAAATCTCCAGGTCCTCCTCAGGAATAACTTTTCTATCACACTAACCTTATACAAGTGTCTAGATTGTGGTTCCTAGTTCCACTTGCAAAATTTTTATTTTTTTCAATAATAAGATATACAAGTGGACAAATTGAAAAGCAGGTCTTGTAGCTTGGCACAGTAGCATATGCCTGTCATTTCAGTACTTAGGGGCTGAGGCAAGAGGATCAGGAGTTCAAGGCTAGCCTGGGCTACTGAGACTGTCTGCACAAACCTTTGAAGAAAAAGGCATAGCAAGCTCCCCGCTTACTTTACGCCCAGACCCTGCGAGGCTCTGGGCCAGTACAGCACAGCACAGCTCTTCCCAGGCTTCTCCTTTTGGTGCCCGAGGGTAACAGTGGACCACCACACTGTCCACGTCAATGTCCCACGTGTGCAGAGAGCAGCACACCACACCGAAAGGCTTGCTTACTTGTTCACTGTGGGTGTTGTGAGAAAGGGCCTTTACCTGAAATGCCTGGGCTCAACTCTCCAGCTAAGACTGCCTCTTGGCAGTGCCTAGCTCTCATCCAAACCTCTTGTGATTTGTTGTTTTGTTTTGTTTTGTTTTGTTTTGTTTTGTTTTTCAAAACAGGCTTCTCTGTGAAGCCCTGGCTGTCCTGGAACTTTTG